TTTATTGACCGTGTCCCTGGAGCAGGTATTCTTGTGTAGTTCCCATGTCAATTCATTTTTACCTCACTGGAACCCTAAGGACGAGATACAAGTGTTAGCCCCATTTTACAGATGAGCCTTCTGAAGGCCAGAGAGGTTGAATGTCTTGTCCAAAAACACATGATGAGTAATGGGCAGAACTGTCCAGATCCTCAGGTGTCTGAGCCTGGTCTGTCCTCCACGACCTCTCCTATGGGCACTTCATGTATTCCCAGGAACAGTTAATTTCTCTTCTCTTTCTGCCTCCCCCCCCCTCCCCCAGAACAAAACCATCTTATCCTAACTGGCAGGCCTGTCTCCCAAAGGCTCTTATCTGTCCACCAACAACAGCCTCTCCCTGTTGAGAAAGGTCTCCTGGCATTTCACTGGGTAGATGCCAGCTTGGGAGCACCATAGATAAGCCAGCAGTGGTGTATGTTGTCATCTCCCCGATGGTTTGCTCTTAATTCAAGTCTGTTAATTTATCCAAGATGAAAAGGGGAGAGGCTGCTGCACACAATTAAATTCAAGACTAGAGAAAGAGGCAGTGATAATTCTGGAATGGGAAATAGGAGATGGGCAGTTTCGATGGAGTAAGGACCCCAGGGAGTGAGGGTGGTGTGTGTACTTACAGGAGTTTCTGGAACTTCCCCTGCATGGGACTGTGTGTGATGCTTCGGAGAGGCGGTGGTGGAGGACCAAGGAGAAGGGCTGTCCCCCGCTTCCTTCTGCCCCACACGCTTACCCTGCAGCAGACTTTCAGAATATGGTTCCTGCTTCGCCTCCTCAGTTCCAGAGCCGGGCCTGTGACGATGACCTCTGGCATCTCTGTGCTTTAAATACGAAGGGCCCTTTGAGAGCTGATCAGACACACCAGCTACTGGCCTTTTAAAACTTGGGGTCTTGGGTTATGTCAGTGTTGACTTTCCGGTTGTGATGTGCTGAAGTCAGGCTGGGCAGTGGGTCCTAGGATCTCTCTGTGTCATTTCTTACTCCTGCATGTGAATCTACGATGACCTCAGAATAAAAAGTTTTTAAAAAGTAGAGTCTTTTAAACACTACGAACTCCAGAGGAGTTCTATAATTGAATTTTCTAGGAGCAGCCTGTTTACTCTGTGGCTTAACATTCACTGCCAATATCCAATAAACATAAAAACAGGATACCAAAACCACTGAAAGTAACACAAAGGAATGAAGTGCGGATACGCACTACAACGTGGATGAACCTTATGCAGAGTGAAAGAAGCCAGACACAAAAGACCACATATTGTATGATTCTGTTTATATGAAATGTCCAGAACAGGCAAATCTATAGAGACAGGAAGCAAATTAGTGATTGCGTAGGGCTGGAAATAGTAGGGTCAGGAGGGAATGGGGAGGGACGGCCGATGGGTCCGGGGTTTCTTTTTTTGGGTGACGTCATACAAGTAGATTGTGGTGATGATTGCACAATTCCGTGACTAGACTAAAAAACCATTGAATTGTACAGTTTAAATGGGTGAATTGTATATGTGTGAATTATATCTCAATAAAGCTGTTGAAAAGTTAGTGTCCTTTGACAGTTTTAAGAGAAGTAAAAACAGCCCTTTGGAAATAGCTGGTGTCTTCTGGTGAAAGCACTTCTGGATACCGGTCGTAATTCCTGAGTTCAGGACAGTGTCCCCAGCATGTTCTTGGCTCCCTCATACACAGATTCACAGGCCTACCGCCGAAACCACAGTGGCTCATCCTGACGGATGAACACTCAGTGTGTGGCAGCCATGTTGCCAGGTGCTTTCACACACGCTTTCTTAAACTTCTTGCGGCCCTGGACGGTAGATAGTTTCATGCCCATGTTTCATAGATGAAGTACTAGAGGTCTCAGAGAATACGTACAGCAAGGGAATGCTGCAGCAAGACCCAGAATCAGAAATTGAGGCCCATTGACCCCCAAGTCCATCCTCTTTCCACATGCCTGTTAGACGGTTGGGTGGACGAGCTTTCTCTCATGTCTTACATGAGTGGAGAGAAGTCAGCTGCAAGGCAAAAGCCAGGCTCTTGCAGGGACAGGTAGCTTAGGAAAGTCACCCGAGAAAAAGCCCATGAGTTCTGTGCAAGTCGTTTTCAGGCTGTGTCCTCAGTGGGGAATCTCTGCTTCCTCCGGAAGTGAGAATGACATTCTGCTCTGTTCCTGGAGCAGCCCTTCCCTGGGGACGGGTGATGGAAAGAGAACTGTGGGAAAACATGTGGAGGCTTTTCGTGGACACATCTCCGAGTGTCATTAGCTTTTGGAGGAAACATGTTCATTTCCCTCAAGCCTTTAGCTTTGTGTGTTTCCTGAATTTTCGAGTTCATAATTCTAGGAGCTGTTTGTAGATACGGAGGGAAGCCACAGTATTACAGCTAGAAATCCCGATATTTTTTGTAAGTGATAATGCTGTCCCTCCTGGTAAAATGGGGATGAGTGAATGGAGATGGCAGGAGACATTCATGGGAAAAGATTTGCACTTAATTAGTGATGTTCGGGTGGTCCCGGCCGACTCATGAGCTCCCAGGGAGCTTATTAAAATGAAGATTCTCAGGCCCAGCCCAGATCTATGGAATCTGAAATCCTGGGGGTGATGGCCAGGGACCTGTGTTTTACTAAGTTCTCCAGATAACTTTTCTACACCCCGAAGTTGGAGGAGCATAGCACCAGATGTTGTTACACACTTTTGGGGTTAAGCAGGAAAATCTGGTTGTGTTCCCGGGAGGATACCTCCTTCTGTGCTTGACCTCATCTTGCAGGGTGGAATATGAGCTGGAAGGGAACAGTCATTCATTTGTTTAAAACATTTATTGAGCACTTACTGTTTCTGGGCACTCACTCCCTGCTGTGAGGGAGTGTACATCCTAGTCGAGGAGTCAGATAGTAACTAGGAAAACTGATACAGAAATGGCTGCAAATGGGGACGTGACCCTGGGATGGTGACATTTAGCCCCATGTGAAGGAGGAAGAGGAGGAGGAGGAGGAGGAGGAGATGCCTGAGTAAAGAGTGACGAGAATGGATTTCTAGAGAGAGAGGGAACTGTTTGTGCAAAGACCTGGAGGTGGGGAGGAGTTGGTTAGGTCAGAGGGTGAAAAACAGCCTGCGTGGCCTGATGGTGGTGAGCAGGGGGCGGATGACAGTCCGTGGGAGAGGTGAGCCACGGCTGGGTCCGCAGGGCCCAGAGGAGTTTGAATTTTATTCTAAAATGGAGGACAGCAACTGAAGGATTTCATCAGAGAATGACAGGGTCTGATGAAAGGTTTAAGATCCTGGCTGCCTAGCGGAGTGGTTTGGAGGAGGGCAGGAGATGAAGTCAGGGGCTGTGGGGTCGGGAGCTTCTGTTCAAACTGTGATTACTACAAAGTCATGTTTTCTTTCTCTCTCTCTCTCTTTTTTTTTTTTTTTGAGGAGGCAGGGGACACAATTTTAGAAGAGATATTAGAATCGTTTTGTCAGGGTTTCTGTGTTAGCATCTTGCAGATGGAACAGACTCTTATTAGAAGTACACATCGTCATTGCTTTCATTAGACAATATTATATTACACCAGCTATGTTTGTACCCAGTTATTTGCGTATACTACTACTTATAAAAAGTAAATTTTGTCAAAAGAAAATTTAGCTTGGATGTTATATTTTTGAGACATGGAACCAAGTTTAGTTGATTACCATTTAGCAGCATCTGTAAGATTTGATCCATTTCAGAAATCTGAGCTCACTAGCATTGCTTGGGCTGGCATTTTCTTAGCTAAGAACTGCTTACCTGGCCGTACAAAATCTAATATTTTATTTAGGAGAATGATTCATTGCTTAGGGTGTCAAGAGTCCTGGGTTTTATCTTTGTTGCACAAATTTGTTTTAACCTTGGACAAATCATTTCAGTTTGTAGTTTAGTGTCTGTGCAGAAGATAGGTACTAATAGTTCTGGTAAACCTGTTCTCATGGTAACTGGGTGAGAGCTCTCCAAGACCTAGGAGAGACAACATGTGCAAAGGCCCTGTGGCAGAAGGGAGCAGCATGTTATCGTAGGAAGTGAAAGGCAGCTGGTGTGTTGGGAGAGCAGAGCGTGAGGGGGAGATGGTCCAGGGTGATGTTGTGGTGGCAGTCACGGGCCAAGCTGGGCAGGATCATGCAGACCTTGTTGGGGACTTTAATCTATATCTGAAGAGCAAGGGGAATCCATCGGTGGGTTTAAATAGAGGAGCGACTTTTCGATTGATATGCTGTCTCATTTAATGGACATGGTAGGCAAATGTATATGGTAGGCAATATCCTTGTTTTAAACTAGCACAGAAACTTAGAGTACTGGAAGTTAAGTAGCTGGCCCATGAGTACCTTGCCGGTAGGTGGTTAAGCCAGGAAGCAAACCCAGGTCAGCCTGACTCCTCTTTGTCTTCATATCAGCTGAACTCAAAAATAATATAGCAATAACCACAGTTTTAAAATGCTTTGAACTCTTAAGATGAAAGCTCTCCCTTAAATTACAAAGTGGTATTATGCTGCAGAAATGCGAGTGGTAATGAGTGGATATGCTGGGGACCTCTGAAGGCTTGGTCTGCATGGCTCGGGTCCAGCATCTTCAAGTTCCTCGCCGTCTGATGGGGGGCGTCTCCTTGCAAGCAGCTATCAG